CTTGGCGGATGTGGGAGAGGGCCACTCCGCAATAGCAGTGATCTTCGCGTCGTCCATGTGGAGACCCTGGTCAGACACGTAGTGTCCTAAGAAATCCACTTTATGCTGGGCAAAGCGGCACTTGCTTAGCTTGGCGTAGAAGCCATGTCTGTGCAATTGGTCAAGGACGTCGCGGAGATGTCTGAGGTGCTCCTCAAGGGTACAACTGTAGACCAGGATATCGTCGAGGTAGACGAGAATGTACTGCTCCAGGATGTCCCTGAAGATGTCATTCATCACCCTCTGAAAGGTAGCGGGAGCATTAGTGAGGTCGAATGGCATCACCATGAACTCATAGTGGCCGAATCGTGATCGGAACGCGGTCTTCGGCTGGTCGGCTGCAGCGACGCGGATCAGATGGTAACCGCTACGAAGATCAATCTTCGTAAAGAAGCGGTTGCCTGCTAGGCGGTCGAACAGCTCATCGGAACGAGGCACGGGGTAGCTGTTCTTAACCGTGTAGCGATTGAGACCGCGATAGTCGATGCAGAGACGGAGAGTTCCATCCACTTTGCGAGCAAAGAGGACGGGTGCACCCCACGGGGAGTTGCTGGGTTTAATGAAACTCGGTCTCAGGAGCTCCTCAAGCTGACGCTTGAGTTCGGTGGCCTCGGGGATCGAGAGTCTGTAGGGTGCCTGGTGGTGAACACGATAGTCAGGCACGAGCTGAATGGAGTGCTCGACGTCACGCATCGGTGGGATGCCGGCGTACGAGAACGACGATGGGAAAACGTCGTGGTACTCTCGGATGAGGTCACGAACTGCGGGCTCCAGGTCAGCCGTATATCGTGCGAGTTCCTCAGCGTCAGCGTCGGCTCGCAACGGCGGGGTGGACTCGACGGGCGGCGGAGGGACGGAAGTAGAAATGAGAGTCATGGAGATAGAGGGAGGATCTGGCTCCAGAGGGATGAGCTCGGCGTCGGGACAGGGTGGATCATAGTGTAAGAGATCCGTCACGTCCACCATAAAGAAGGTGACGTCGTCCTGTCGAATGAAGTGAGCGAACTGCTGAGGCGAGGTGACAGTGATAGAGGGAGATGGTGTGGGCACTGAAGGCTCCGGGGGAGGAGGATCGGGGCGTGGTGTCGCCGTGGTACCTATCAAAGGTACGCGATACGTCTGTCCACACTTCATTTTGAGAACGAGAGTGTTGGTCGCCCAATCGGCCTCAGTGCTGCGGAACCGACGAGACCACGGAGTGCCGAGAATGAAGTCGTACCCCGTCTCCATCACATCGAAATGTGCAAAGGAGCGGTGGCGACAAGACGCCGGGGAACAACCAGTCGGCTCGAGAGTAAGGAAGAAGGGGAGGTCAGTGACCGTCTGATCGAAGAAGCCCTGGGTCTTGTCATCCCCTAGGGTAACGGAGATGGGAGTGGAAGACCCTGTCGTGGGTAAGGGGGCTTCTTTCACCACGCGTGGGTGAATGAAGTCGCCCTAAGAACCGGAATCCCACAGCGCTGAGTACACCCTCGTGGAGGTCCCGAGTCGTACTGGGATGATCGCGAGGGTGCGATCAGTGTCAAAGAGGATGGCGAGAAGGTGACGCAGTGCAGCGACATGGAGGGTGAGTCGCTCCTGACGAGCCTGGAGCATGCTCAAGTCCAGAAGAGAGGACACAACGTCCTCGCGAGTAGCAAGCTGCTCGCTGCAACGGGCTGAGCGAATGGCTCGACGCGTCGGTAGTCGCAGCGGGGAAGGAGGGGAGACGGTGGTCTGCGGAGGCGCAGACGGTACTGCGACAGAGGGCTGAGTACACTCTGTCGAGTCCTGCGACACCTCAACTCCAGTAGCGAGAGGGGCGAACCGCGACAGAGATGTCGGGAGCCCACTACTGAGGAGGGCGCAAGTGTACATTGCACCGTGGCTAGGAGGCGCCGCGGGGACGTGAGGCGTCGGGGGGGGACTGAGCACGACGCTGACGAGAAAGGTCAGCGTAGTGGCGGTCGAGGGCGGTAGTGTAAGGGCACCGCGAGGAGGTATGACCATCCAAGCGGCAGCGCAAACACCCACGTCGGCCCAGAATAGCCGCGCGCTCCTCAGCGGAAAGGACACCGTGAGGAGAGACGAAGCCCTGAGGGAGGTCCTCCTGAGGGACCTCGGGGGCGACGCGCCAGCGTGACCGGGGCGGCTGCGTGCCCGAGAGAGGCCGGAGAGCGCGAGCTGAAGGCGCTCAGCTACAGGGAGGGTAGAGTCCTCCAAGTGATAGTGGACGGCCTCGCAGAGATCGAGGTCATCGCTGTGGTCGCCCTCAGGTGACAGTGGGGCAACAACGTCCTGCTCACCATACTCCAGCGCGCTGAAGCGGCGCGAGAAGTGGGGGCCCTGCTGCGTGGAACGGCGGGGGCGACCGCAGAAAGGGGAACGGCGCTGGGATGTTCCGTGCGAGGAGGAGGAGGCGTAGCCCATGCGCTGGGGCTGGGAGGAGGAGGCGGGGTGAAGACGGGCTCACATCCGCTGGTGGTCCCTGGCAGCCTCGTAAGCCTGTGGGGCCGATGTGAACTCGTACCGCCATAGCTCGGAGCGGTACTCGAGCGGAAGGCTGGCCAAAAAACGATCGATAAGGGCAGCCTCGGGGAGGAACGCCACGTCGCAAACGAGGCGGGCGTCCTGAAAGACCTGGATGTGGCGATCCAGGCCGGCAGCGCCACCAGAGCCGGACCAGCGTGTAGTGACGACACACTCGAAGGCGTCAGTCACATCGTATCGGGCTCCGAAGCGATCCTCGAGGAACGCCTGGAAATCCACGAAGGTCGGAGTCCGACCCTCACGAAGGGAGTAGGCATARAAATCCTCCCAGGCYTCGAAAGGACCGCCAYGCAGGCGCGTGGAGAGGTGACCCACCCACGTCTCGRGTGTGGCGCCCATGAGCTGGAGTGTGCGGGTGGCAGACTGCAGCCACCGAGACACGCATATGCCTGTACCGTCATACAAGGCAATGTCCGACAAGCGGATGAGTGGTGCGCCACCGTTTTGGCGAGGGGATCGAGGAGCGGAGTCCTTTGTCACGGCTGAGTAAGTCGGCGCAGGTCCTGGAGAAAGGGGCGCAGCTGACTGTGCGTCCGGGCCGCATGGGGGAGCGGCGGTGGCAACAGCGGCAGGCTGCGAGGGTGCTGCGGTAGAAGAGGTCGCAGCAACCGCGGGAGTAGGAAAAAGGTAGGAAGGAGTTGTATAGGGTACGAGGCGCGGAAAGCGAGCCTGCATGGGAGGAAGGGTAAAGGAGGTAGGGGGTGCGCCCGAAGGCGCGGCCACCTGTGAGGGTGGGGGTGGCTGAAGGCGTAAGAGGGCGAGGTCGGCCCGGAGCTGGGCGATCTCGTCCACGAGACCTCGAACGTAGGTCGATCGAGGGGTGGCAGGAGAAAGAGTGGAGGGGGTGGACGCACAAGCGGCGCGGGGCATCCCAGAGGGGGGAGAGCCAGGTGGCGCTGCGGTCGTGCGAAGGGGAGGGAGAAGCGGGGCACCCGGAAAAGTTGAGACCATGGTAGCGGGTTGTTGTACCGTGGTCGTAGTGACCGGGATCTGGGCGGGTGCGCCTGTAGACTGAGGGGGGGCCTGCCTCGTGGCCGCCGTCGTGCTAGGGGCGTGGACAGTCACCAAGATGGCCGGGTCAGGGGCAACGGAGGAGGAAGCTCCGCCGTGGCTACCCTGTCGGAGGACGGGGGACCCGGACTGGGAGCCAGGAGATGACGGACACGCAGCGTTCTGGAGTTGCTGCATGCCGGCGGCAAGGGTCGCCATCTGCGCCTGTAAGGGCCCGAGGGTCGCGAGTTGCGCCTGGATGGGCGCAAGGGTCGCGAGTTGCGCCTGGATGGGCGCAAGGAGGGAGGTGAGGAGGGTGTGTAGATCCCCCTGGGGCTGATGGCCCTGGTCCGCCGGCACGGGTGTGGAGCCCGATGCCGTGGTCATTGCCGTGTCGGCGGCGTGTGACGCACCGTCGGCCATGGGGCCAGAAGAGGTCCGCGTGAGCGGAGGGCGTACGAGGAAGTCCACGGTAGAAAGCGGCGAACGGCGCTAGCAAGGCTAGCACGGGCGCCGTCAAAGGGGGAGGGGTGGTTCGGGTCCAGGGTGCCCGAAGAGGACGGGGAAGTAGGGGGGTTTTGAGGAACCCTAAACCCTACAAAAACCCTAAGAAAACCCTAACCGAGGTTGAAGTGGCTAGGGTAGGGTACCGGTGACCTAATCAAGAAAGTAAACTAGCAAGCATAGGGGGGAGAGACGGGAGAAAAATAAATAAACAGGAAGATTTCGAGAAAAAATAAAAATAAATAAGAAAATAAATAAATAATAAAAATAATTAAAGAAATAAGTAAAGAGATGTGAAGGGAAACAATATTTTTTTTTTTTGAAATTTTCGGCAGCATTTCCCTACCCCCCACGGGGTCAAGAATGTGCCAAGGGAAAAGGAGAGACCGAGGTGAGCCCACTAGAGATGCCGCAAATAAAATAAAAAAAGAAATTTTAGAAAATAAATAAAGAAATAATAAATAAATAAATAAGTGAATAAGTGTGTGAGGAGGTGGGGAGAAATGGGTTATCTG